GGGTGCCAGGCCGAAAACGGGATGCAGCCGAAACAGCAAAAGATAGACCAGGGATCGAGCCCTGGCGAAGTCCGTAACAGGTGAGGTAGTAATCGGTCAGATCGACTTACAGGGTGAAGTCCTAGTGGAGAACTGTTTTTTTATACTTAGAGATTCTGGCAGAACATTGCCGTAACCGGGATCCGGAGCAGGTGGTGGGGGGAGTGATTTTGCAGTCAGTGCACCTAGCAGGTTTTCAAGACAGTGAGCGTAGCTGGGTGCGGTGGCTCGAGTATTCTGCAGAAGGGAGGGGGTTATTTCTTAGGTTGACGGCACGACGAGGCTTTCTCCCATTCAGACCTTGGCACGCTGCCCCCTTTTTATCGGCCCCAGTGGCACAAGGGGCTCCTGCGGCATCACTCAATGAGTCAGACCGCATCTGTCCTACGTGATAATGTCACGCTGTGGCAGTCCTGTGCGGATAAGACACATTTTATAGGGTTGCTTTCAGAATAAATTATGTTAGAGGAGCCGGTGTGCGGATAAGACACATTTTATAGGGTTGCTTTCAGAATAAATTATGTTAGAGGAGCCGGTGGAGCCTGGTTCAATTCCATGTATACATAAGCAAGACATTTATAAATTATAATATACGTATTCTCATTTACGGAGTCAATGCATACGTTCAATTTGTGACATTTTTCACAAAAGATTTATGAAGGCAAGATGTTGGGCTCTGTGCAGGGCCCGCTGGAGCATGCGATGGCGAAATTGGGCTCTGTGCCGGGCCCGCTGGAGCATGCGATGGTGAAATTGGACGTTGCGATGAATAGCATGTATGTATTTTTTGCTAACATGTTAGGTGGAAACTTTGAACTTTCTTTGCTTCCTCTTTTCATTTCTTATTTGGCAGTTAAAGATCTTGCACCTGTTTCTGGACTTGTCTAATCCCCGACACTCGTCATTGTGCATTTTATTTACTGTTGATTTTGACGATTCGCTGGCAGCAGTACACACCATGGTGCATTGCTGAGAAGGGAAGATATTCTGGAGATATTCTGGAGATTTCCACAAGTACACACCCACTTGTGTATACTGGATAGATAGGAAGGGGTGGGTGGAGTTCTGTAGCTAGCATGTCCTTCTACATGTATGCACCAGAACGCCAAGAAGCCTTTTGCTGGCAGCCATGGAGGAGGGCAGGTCCTGTTGCACACCTGAAAAAAATGTGTTTCCCTGTGGTAGGAGGGCTTATTGAGTGTTTAGGAAGAGTAGATGATCTAGAAGACGTCTTTGCAGGCGGCAATTGGATACTTGAGCATGATGGCGAATTGGGGCAATGGAGCAAAAGGATGGGGAGAAACAAGTGGTGGAAAATGAGCACGCCACAAGTTGCTGTTCATTGTTGTCTCCTTATTCTGAAAGCCATTCCCTTGACCCTTGCATGTATCTGTGCTGACTGGAGACAAATGTTGTAGGATGTGCCACGTCCATCATTGCAGTGGACATAGCATCATGACCTGTTCACCCCATCTCTTCTCTCTCTCTCTCTCTCTCTCTCTCTCTCTCTCTCTCTCTCTCTCTCTCTCTCTCTCTCTCTCTCTCTCTCTCTCTCTCTCTCTC